AAAAAAATCACATATGCGTTATCACAAGATTATAAAGTATATTTACAGTACATAATATATCATATATGATACCCAATAAAAGGTTAAATGACACAGAGCTGAGACATGATATTTGATACCAATGTTATCCATAGAAGGATATACGTCCCAAGTACAAAAGTGTAGAACGTTATGAAAAGTGAGTACAGGCAAAATCATGGGGTAATTTCGCATCCATAACACGCGATTTTTTCACCAAAATATATACTATCTGAAATCAAACTRTTCCCTACCAATATTTCCATATCGATTCGTGATTATCAATAATCATTACTTTTGTATTTTGTTTATAACGTACGGCCGATGAATCGTGATGCGAAAAGTGTTACCCTACACTTTTAGTTTAGTTTATGGATTAGTAGAAATGTGCTGAAAGAACAACTTGAACTCGGATAAACCGTAAGCACGTCCGAGGCTAGTTCCTTTTCTTCCTGCAGCACCAACCAATTGAAAATCAGGATTTGCCTTTATCTTCTGAGTGTAGTTTATTCCCCATGTCTTGTTGCCATAGTAACTGGTCCAGGTGCCATCGCTGAGTTTGAACCTGATTTTAGCGAGGACGCCATTACCAAACCCCATTTGAACCTGGCTAACGTACACGAACTTTTTAAGTTCTTGTGATCTTAGGATAACTATTTCAGGATCTCGATCAAGTTTCTTGCCGAAGAGTTTTCCCATTCCACTCATGTACTTGATCTGAATGCCATCAACAAACGAGCCTGCCCATATATGGATCTCCTGAATGAAGCCACAGTGATCGGTGACTTCGTCGCCGCGGATTGAATCTTGAGCYTTGGAGTGTGAGCCCTTTTTCAAGGCTAATGAATAAGGGCCATACGCCACCTTACAGGTTTTGGGTGGCGCTTTAGCTTCTTGGGATTCGTGGCCTGGGAGAAACTTGTGCAAATTAAAAGTTTGACTATAAGCATTCATCATGAAACTCGCCTCTCCCTCGTTAAGCATCCTCTCCTTTGCACGTTTCTGGACCTCTTTGAACGTGTCTTTGTTGCTATTCCAGTCGTCTGAATACTTGACGTAATCCCCAGTGAATGCATCTTTGGTTGAACCATACACAGACCAGTAGAAAAATGGTGGAACAAGAGTCGGTTTCTTCTTCTTTTTGGTACTGACACTAATCTCATCTTCACGCCATTCTAACCATTTGGGGTAAATGTCAATAAAGAAAGTCTTGTAGTCTGTGTATTTGTTATCCAGGTCCTTTTTCCATTGCATTTTATCCTTTGAATCAGGGTAYAGCTCCAATCCATGCTCGTAGCGTTCTCTGAGAACACTTAGGTGTACAAAAGCATGTGATATTATTACAGGAATCAAGTGAACGACATAATCAGACTCGGTTAGTTCACTGTACAGCTCATTACATTGTACAACAATGGCTGCCATTAAACCAGCACGCTCGCTGTTCGTGGCGTTGGAGTACATCGAGAGACTTGCACGAATTGCCTCAATCTGTGATGACCGCTCATTCATCTCGTGCTCWAGAATCTTGGTCTCGACCAGCTCCTCCACTTGGTCTTTGATCAGAGACCATATGCTTTCCTCTTCGTCGGGCCAAAACAGAATAATGGCGGCCTTCAATAACTTCCCTACTGTTGGAATACAGCCTGCAATATTTTCAGACAGGGTCTTGAGGCGGTTGTTCCATGAGTCCGACACTTCTATCTCTGCCATGCTTCTAGGTTAAGGCTTGTTGTGTTTTCGTGTTTTCGCACAGACAGGCTTCACCTTATAACTCCTCACCGCGTGCGATGCGTGACCTCAAGACAACGTGCTCTTTTGACATCATGAATAACATTTACGTCATGGCTGGATGATGAACGGAAATGACGCAAGCATATGATGAGTCCTCAGAGAAAAGCGGAAACCCTTTTTTTCAAACATGTTCATAATGCAACCAGTAATACTGATCGAGTTAACTAGCKGAAATGAATCTGTTAAATCTAGAGTTACTATACATATAAATACAAACAGACCTACTGTGGCCCGTTTCAATGGCAGCTAGGGCGAAGTTGAATTGATGGGAAAGGTGAATGACTCCTCTTTTGTTTAGTCTTATGCAAACATCACCAGGCAGCCAACCTCACGTATAACCATTTATTAGACACGTACCATCAAAAACGTGTAATTTCTGTTCTGATAAAGCTAAGTTGGTAATTGATAAGATAAAAACTGTTTTCACAACTCGTACATCTATCTATCTAACTTCTAATTCTAATTCTAGCGTTCSCTATACAAAGCTTTAATGACTAACAATAAGTTAGTATTCATCAAAGGCTAATAATCAGTTCATTACATTTTTAGAATATGCTAAGTTCTTGGTATGTAAAATTCGTTTCCCCCCGTCTAGATGTGTCCCTTGTGGCTAATGACGCATGTAGATCTCCAGTGCCGATATTGCAATGGTGAAGGTCTGCTAATGCATGTGTGACTGCCAAAGTCAGTTTTCCGGTGCAAAAGAGTTTTTCGCATATAGAAACAATTAAAGCTCACGAATAAACTACTTTAATCGGAACTTCCCATCACCAAGAATAGATAACCAAAATGAACAAGTGCGACGATGTAAAAGATGAACTACAACCACCAAACACAGGAACACCAGAAAAAGCAACARTTGACAAAGTACATCAACAACTCTCCTCTTTGAACTTTTAAGATCTCCTCTTCTTCATCATCCTTGATATAAGTTGAATCCATAATCTTTCGATGCTCTTTTTCGTCCATGTTTTTTTATTCGCGGCGTAGCTTGACTCCAAAGATTAAAATCGAGAATCAGTGATGTATTTCAGTCACTCGGGTATGCAACTTCTAATATAAATTGCTCTTCTAAAAGAAGCCAACTCACACCGTTGCCTAACTCACAGCGCAATCAGTATCAGCCAATATGAAGTGTGAAGTTTGAGGCTATTAAGACCTGCTTGCATCTATGCATTGACTAAGTATTAGTCTTGGTATTAATATTTTATGCTATTGAAAATAATATGTTACACTCTATGGCTCCTTTTTATAAAATATGCCAAAGTAYGTATACGCAAATGTGATATATTACAATGAAAACGAATAAGCAGTGGGTATGTCGTCCATAACGTTGCGATGTGTTATTTGTCGTCTTTCATATTGAGCTCTTTGCAATATAATCAACACCATTTATTACTAAGCAAGTTTACAGGTGGATAATAATGGCCTATCTTTTAAACGTAATGAATGACAGTTACAGTTATCAATCGACSACAAAAATAGTCTTAGTCAACAAATTGCAGATGCCATATCATATCGATGAGATAAAAACAGTTTCACAGTATTGCATGTATTTATTATAAGATTTTTACAAAGTTTATTAGACGCGCAACGTTTAATAATTAATGTATTTATAAATACTTATCGTACAACACTTATTGCTACTGTACACGATGCTTAACCATACATATACACAGGTTTGCTGCTCTAAAATCCCTAGAAATGGCTTAAGATCCTTTCTTATCACATATTACATTGCAATTTGATAGAATGGATGAGCYTAGGCTTTTCTTTKGTCGCTTCTCACCCGAAAGGGAGCATGGGTAAATTGACACACACTTGGCGTCACGTTTTGTAAAAGGACAGTAAGAGTCGCTATGATTCTATACATAATCATTTTCCTTCTAGACTTACACATAACCATAAATCGTCTTTATGAAATACAGTTGTTTTAGTTACAGGTGCAATAGGTACGTGAAGTTGGTGTATAATGTTTTTTCTTTGTTTCTTTTCACATCTAATTATAGTACATTAAATACAACGTAATGAAATATAACTGCCTGTTATAATACTTTCTATATCACATATATCTCAGAAGTGTATCGTTTTGAATGACAAAGGAATCCCAAAGTGTATGTACCACGTCCAGTTTTCTATATCCATATATTACAAGGATCTAAGTCTTTAGATAGAACAATGACAGAGAGGGCAGAAGTTAAGAGAAGCGATTTCTTGTTCGTAAGCTCTGTGCTTACATTTACTGCACATCCAGAACTGATAGTCCATTAAWGGTCGACCAGTAACGACACACGTAGGGAACTTGGTATCACAGTTAGGACATACTTGRCTCCTGTGACAGACAGTGAGTATGAACACAGACAGACAAATAAATAGACAATACAAATTTTTACCGACTTATGAGGGCTTTAGTCTAAACCATAGTTGTGGGGACATAAGGTTTTAAAAATGATTTCAAAATGATAAAGCCTTGGAGGGACTCAGGATACAATACTCTATAATGAGACACCTTGAAATCGATCGAAAGCGACTTTTCAAGTTTTTGGGACATTTTTGTGGGGTATATGATCACCGACTTGTGGGAGTCAGTTTCATTTAAACGGACAGACAGTCAGAGGTAACTGTCAGTCAGACAGACATTGTTTTCCTACTAATCTACCTATTGTCATGTTGTTCTTTTGTTTCTTGGCTTCTTTTTTTACTTCTTTGTACCCTCCCTTCCTCTAGTCGTTTATCTTTATTACCACTCGGTCTTTCTTCGTCGTCCGTTCGTTCGCTCATTCGTCGTTCGTTCGTCATTCGTCATTGTTTGATAGTACATTCCTTCGTACATTAGTTCGTCAAGCATTCGTTCAATCGCCGTTTGTTCGTTATTAATACAACTCACCAATCAGGTATCATTGTTTCGCAGTTTGTGCATTCGACCTTGTTACCACGAGAATCCTTCGGAGAATGTCTGAATAAACAAAATCAAAAATTATATGAATGATGAACTTCAGTTCCCTATATATCCCCGGGTATATATCATAATAAGATGTGATCCTTCACTCTATACACCTACCCCCAGGGGAAATGTTACTTACTTGGTAAATATCTCTAGCGCAAGATTTTCATAAGCTTGTCGTTGCTCGTCTGAGATGTCATCTAGAAGCTCTAGCTTAATAAACGCCTGAAAGAACGATAGCGAGATATCATTTATAAAGTTCTTATTGGGCTGCGGTACAGACTATGTTCATAGTTCCGGTTACCTTGGAACAAGTACCAAACGATCGATTTGCACAGCTAACAAGAGCGAGCAATGAAAAGATACACGACGCGTCCATGACATCTTCATACTCACGAAGGTGTAGCGCCTAAAAAGTGAATGAATAAACAAAWGAAAATCAACAAACGGATGAATGGATGCAACTCATGAATAAGAAATGCATGAAATATGCGTGAAAGGATGCATGGATGAATTAATTAATGAAATTGTGAAACAAATAGAGATAAGAGTTTTACCGTTTTCATGCTGGCCTCTAGATAGCCCTCGTAAAGCTGCTTTTGAGCCAGTAAAAAGAAATGATACGCCTGCAATCCAAATAATCAACATTTTATTCATCACTAATACACGACACTTTGACATTATGWTTGACGCTGTCACTCATCATGTCAAGAATGTGTTATTATTTGGTTACCTCAGCACCTCTCCAGGCGTTGTCAATCAGTTTACTCTCTTCAGTTGCAATGGCRTCTTCTTCAAGTAGTCCTTCCAGTGCTGTGGTCGCCTAATGAAATAAATGTCATTTMAAACCATATACACTAATCAATACACCACTATATACCCATAAACAACTTAAGAGACATGATGCACTGAGCACCACATATACACATGTATACCTATCATCACTATCTGCCTATCACAAGCAGCTATAGCTACATTATACCAACATAAGTATTACTAACATGATACTACCTGAACGCAGCATACTATCTACGCTAACATACCTCCTCGTAGACACCTAACCACTATCAAAAAGAATAAAAATATCAATCAAAACTAAGAAAAAAACAACAAGAATATGAAGTTAATGAACTACCTCTCGAGTTTTGCGTTTGTCGCCGCCACCAGCGGTCTTCCTGCTCGTGTTCTTGACATGCTCATGATACTCTTCGATCTACGGAAAGGAAAACAAGTGAAAGAAAGGGAAAGGAATGGAAGCAAAAAGAAAGAAAGGGAAAAGGAGTGAGAGGTCGGAGTTTGGAGTGAGGAATGAKTATATGAGGAATAGGGACCTAATAAAATAACGGAATTATAGATGATCAAGAATGAAAAACGGAAGAGCGGGAAAAGGAAAGTATCTATATTTTGTATCCTTTTTACCAGCAAAGCTGCGAGGACATATAGCTTTTTCCCTCGTAAAGGATTCGTCYTTGGGTTTGTTGTTTCTTTAGCAAGCTGAAGAATAAAAGAAAAAGAATACTAAGCACACAGTATATGGACCTAAATACCTGTAAACCAAGCCATTAGAGCGGATTTCGTATGAGTGGGAAACGGACGGTACTGTACTGTGACCGTAATCGTACTGTAACCAAATTCTAGTGCCCCATTGGTTCACCAAAATTGTGCAGGCCAGGTGCGGTAACTGTGCGGTAACGGTGCCCCACTCATACGAAATCCGCTCTATTACCTTGAAGAGAAGCTTTGCTGCATCTATAAAATGATTGGCTTTACGRTAGCTAACACATGTTAAAGATATCCTTTACAATACGTATGGTGATAATTTATTAATTCATTTACAATGAGATCTTGATTTCCATCAACATTGATCTTGATGGAAATCAACAGTACGTGGCTAAACAAAGTCACGACCGCGGTGTAGACGACTGTGGCTGTACACAGAAATTAACTTTTAGATCTAACGAAAGGAGGCCAATAATCAACATTATAACWGTTCCACTACAGCGAAAGACTAATTGAAACACACAGAAATAAAAAAACATTATTATTAACAAGGATACAGTTCAATTGCACTCAATATATTGTTCTTCTCCAGTAGATGTGATGCGTACTTGGCAAGTAGTTTATCTATCTCTTTTATGTTGTGTTCTTTGGCTAACGCGATGGCCTGGTCCCACTGGTTGAGGTGAACACAGCAGTCGATTGCTTCCTTGATTTTATTGGTCTGATTCAATAAGAATGGAATAAATGAATGAGAAATTAAMGACGAATGAATGAAAGATGAGAAAAAAAATTGAAGTTAATGAACAGATGAACCAATGGGAATATGAAATATGGAAGAAAGGGAAAAGAAACAAAATAAATGAAATGTTACCTTTGAGAAAGCTAAGACAGCTTGTTCACACATGCCAACCGTCTTAAACATTTCAGCAATTTCCTGCAACAAAACAGAATGGTCGGATTGTCGGGGTTTACATAAATACAATCAAATGCTTAGAACTTAGCGTCTTATAAACAATGCTTACAGCTGTTARTCATTGTCATGATAAAGACCCCCCAAACACGAACGTATTCATAATGGTCGGAGTGCAGAGGTATGTATACTTACAGACAAGAGTTTATGGTTTTCAGGCAGACTATTTGTCATCGACTCTAGACCGTTATAGTCTTCTAACATGTAATAACACTCAGCCAATCTCTCTTGGTTTCGTCCTTGAACATAGTACGTAACGGCRTTCTGCCACTTCTGTCGGTCAGCGTAATAATCACCGATAGCATTCCAGGCCTGTTCAAGAAGTTGGTCATCTCCTGACAAGGAGAAAATGCGTGACRTTATCAATAAAGCGTGAYATGTATGATACTGCGTGACATCAATCAATAACATGGCTGCCGATAATTTGTACATAAACATTGAGTATCGCTATATAAGAAAACAAGATCAAGTGAATGGATGACAGTACATCAATGTCACGCAATTCGAGTAATTACCTCCTGCTCCACCTGTTTTCAGAAGTTGCACAACACGGAACCAGTCCCCAAGTTTTAAGCGCAGCTCAACGGCCAAATCCCTGTTATAAAAATGAATCATTAGTGACTATCATCAACCATGTCATCATCATCATAATCAGCAACAGCATCATGTCTATCATCAGAAATACAGCCTACAGTCATTTTAAAAGAAACGACCTCTGTATTACGGACACCTTAATATCACGACCAATAACACCATGTTTAGTGTCGCTCACCTTCGGTCCATCTCCAGGTACAAACGCTCTGCYTCTTCAAACCGTTTAAAATACGCAGCAACTTCCGCTCTCTTTTTACTCTCGTCCTGAAAAACATGGAATCCTTTACACTTACAGTATCAATAAATCTTGTTCACTCATCTCACATTAGRCTCAAGGGAATTATTAACATCTAAAAGTAGTTTTATGTACTGCWTTATGGTGAAATCTCGCGTACTTACGTCTAGTTTAGTCAGTCTTTTCACAAACCGAATGCCTTGATAATCCGAACATCGAACAAACGCTTTGTCAGCTACCTCYAGTTCCAGTCTCTCCAAGGATGATTCAGCAAGCAGACGCCTGGGAACGAACAGTGAGACACTATGATATAGTTACTATTGTCTTGAATTAGCCTCCTCCGCAGTCAACACTTTTTTTTCTGCCGGGTCACAGTTTTCATCGATCATATAGAGGAAGACAGGAAGCCCAAAAGTAGAAAGAAGAGCAGAAAGGAGAGACGCTTGCGGAGGAGGCTATGCCTTGTTTGAAGAATAAAATGATGGCTTACCATAGCCTGGGATGAGGGTTGTCTTCAATGAATTGATACGCATCCGGTATTCCAACCTTCTCTAGTAGATCACGTGCATCTCTTAAAGACTACAAAACACGGTTTTAAAACATATGTATAACAGAATTGACAACAACCGCAACAATCGCAAACAACAAAAAAAAATACAACAAGAACAACAGCAGTATCAATAACAACAACAACAACAACAACAACAACAACAACAATAACAACAAAATAGAACACTAATCACAGCTTCAACACCACAATGACAAGAGCAACAGCAGCAGTTACAACACTTGTGGGGACTTAACAATAGCAGTAGAAGAAGTTTATCTACCTTCACTTCGAGGTCAATCATGTTTTCTTTGGTCGGATGATCAGGATCCTAAAGGGCATAATCACATCATCAAGTCATTATGAGCGTCAGGTTCATTATGAAGAATCTTCGAGCTCTCTGCAAGAGTCTTCGAGCTCCGTGCAACCTTCGTTCAAACTTCGTGCATTCTCCGTTAWTACAATATCRTCTCAAAACTTCAATCAATCTTCGCTCAATCCTCGTACAGTCTTCGTACAACCTTCGTACAAACTCACCTTCATTATTTCATCAAGCAAGACGGCTTTAACTTCCAGATCGTTGAACTGACATATGTATCCTGAGCTTAGAATGGGCTCCTGCAACAATTTCACGAAATAATATTTCAAACAATATCCGACTTATAGCTTAAATAGAGGAAAACAAGAGCAACGAAGAACATTATTTGTAGGGAGAGCGGGGTTGTGTATCGATGAATAGTATCCCAGAGTATCACGATAACCAACAACTTGTACGTACTGGGTAACACACTTCATCTGGTAACATAGCGGAACTCCATCGTGAACGACCGAGTAGCCACAAAACGAAATAGAACGCAATTCAAAAAGAAATGTATACCTCAGGATCCAAGTTTCTAAARATGTACATTCGAGTCTTTTCCATCATAGCAAACAACTCGTTATTATCATCGGCCCATTTCATATCCCAGACGTCTTTGCGTTCAAATTTCAAGGCTTCGCCGATCACAGTTTCATTTCTTGTCGGGTCAATTCGACGTGCTTCCTAAGAATACGTAGAAACAAAGGCATAGATTGGTTGGTTCACTGATTGACAGATTGGTCGATTGATTAAAAGATTGGGCGTTTAATAAATCGATTGACTGACTGATTAGCGCGAATGTGCAATGTCTGATTGATTGATTGATTGATCGATCGATTGATTGATTGAACGATTTCTTTCTAGACTAAATATTCTAATGATTGAATGATTGAATGATTGATTGATTGATTGATTGATTGATTGATTGATTGATTGATTAAACGATTTCTTTCTAGACAAAAAGAAAACTTACAAAACTTACCAAATCAAAGAAAGTCAAGATACCCGAGATATCTATGATAGCAAGACGCCTGGATTCAAAATACAAAATTATAATTAGATGTAAATCGTTTTAATAAAATAAATTACAAGTTTAGTATGTGATTTTTACATGTAAAGAAAAGGTTTGATGTACTTACGATGAGTTACAGTTGAGTGACAGCTGATGAGGGCGAGTGTTGATAACATGCTTCATTTCAAGGGCATGTTTTGGTAAYGAGTATCGATGGATGGTGCCTGATTCACGACCCTATCATTATGACGTATATATATTAATATTCATTATGAATTGTTTTAGTTCAACTTGATAACTTACCACAATAATCATTTTGTCTGATGCACACACACAGCACACTGAATCACGTGTTGGCTGGAAAGACACGTTTGAAGAATGTCATTTGTAYATTATGAACAATACAGCKATCATGAAMTAGGGTACATGGTAAGTTAGACAGATGCATTTAATGGACGGACAGACAGRCATTGAGGCAGATGACTACRRGAATGGYTAGATACACAGATAAGGATAACTCACAGCAAGAGCCTTCTTGATATCTTTGATTCCTTCACCTGCTCCTGACGGCACATCATCAATATGAAACATCCTGGACAATCACCAGACCAAACATTAGCAATAAGCTATCTTATTCTAGTTTATTGTAAACTAATGAATAATGAATAATAAAGAGATACATTCTATGTTCAATGTCACGGATTTTTACACTCAGAAAGGTTCATTTAAATGTCCACCAAGTTCAACATCCCACTTTTATTTATCACATCTATCCTTCCTTCCATTCACCAATCCACCAAATTACATTTTAATTGATCTATTATTCATTCATTCATTCATTTGTACATTCAATCACCTGTTTATCTATCTATCCAGTCATTCACATACTAAGTAATATATAACACATATTAATCAAATCATTGATCCTGGCATCATGTTTTTTATACTATTAAATCATTTTATTTGTTTATCGTTGATTATTTTAGGAATTTGACTCAAATCATTGACATCACTTTTATATCATTGAATATGATGCCTTTTAAGGTTTATAATGTTGATATGTTTACTTATTATTTATCAATATTCTTACCTAAGGCTGGTGTAGCCATCTGAACCCTCACTTTATTTAAAACAAAAATGTTAAGATTACAAGAGAATTAGGAGTCTCACAGTAAACAACAAATACTGGTGTAAAGATGTGAAAGATGATACATTGTATTATAGGTACGCACTGAGATATACAGGACAAAAACAAAGAGAATAGGAAGAAAGGGAACAACAACAATGATAATAGATGAGGTGACGGTTTTGTCCGCCATTTTGGACCGGTAGGCATAGTGTCGCAAAATAACAAGGAATGACCGGGAAATCGATGTCAAATAATTCTCGCTGAATTCAAATTCAGAAAGAATTATCA